TCTCTCAGCTTGCAGGGCGACAGCCCTCTTCCCAGACCACGACAGTGACCACGTCCACAAGTGAAAGGTACCAGCCTGCCGATGGCTCTGGCAGCCCGCACATGACCACATGGTCCCCGGAGCCCTGGTAGATCCTATGCAAATATTGTTTGCATATTCATCAGGATGCCACATGGACAGTATTAGCTGCTTTCATTATTTTTAAAGGAGAAACACAGCCGTCTCTGGCACAGGCACCCACCAGCTCTGTTGGCCACCAGTCTGGAGACTGTTTCAGAAGACAAACATCAAAGAGGAATGGAATCTGTTCTTCCCTGCCCTCTGCTCAGCGATTAGAAGTCGCCAGCCTGCTTTTGGGTTTTTCTTTCTGATTTATACTTTTACACTTTAAAAACACAGTGACATAGTATATTTATAGCTATACAATTAATAAGCTACTCCTGAGGTATAAATAATGAGCAAGCTAAATTGCCTTTTATGAAAATAGAAAAGTCCCATGAAGCATTCCCAGAGAAGTTATGTTCATTTAATAATTAAGCAACAGGAATATGGAATAAGAATTTCATTTGCAGCCAGGTAATGGACCTTAATTCTTTGCATTTTGTACTTAGAGATACAACAGGGAAATACTATTTTTCACCCAGGGGTATTAATGGAACAAATAAATTGGTGTTTATGTAAGCTCTTGACTTTTAGAAGCCTGTATGTAATTTTTTCATTCATAAAATGAGTGGGTTTTCAAAGCTAAATCTTGAAGTAAGGCTGTCAATATTCTCAAATGTGAAGCCATGGGAAATCAATCAATCAATCAATCACTCTACCTATCATCTATGTATGTATGTATGTATGTATGTATCAGGGTTTGGTTGCATCATTAGAATTCTTTGGTCCAGTCGAAAAGAAGTCTAGTTTTGGTCTAGTTTCTTTAAAGGCTAACTCTTTAGGCTGCTAACTCACAGACTAGAACCCCTGAAATGACAAGAATTCTAAAAAACCTAAGGTGGACCTGTGAAAGCCACCATTGAAACTGAGATCAGGGAGCACTTTATACACAACTGAAATTCCCAGAGAAAACAATTACAAACGGAATGAAAACAGCACAAAGCCCTCATAAGTGGCCTGCGTGCGGAGTGGCCTGAAGGAGGCAGAGACCAAGGCGGATGTGAGGACCCTGTCCCGGAAAAGGGGGCTGCACGGCAGTTTCCCGTCTACTGGGCATGGAGATTGTGACCCAGGGAGAAGGCCAGTCTGACTGGTGTGAGGCCTCCTCCCGTGGTGGAGTTCAGGGCTGTAGCTGAAGAGGAGGAGGAAAATCCTGGGGAGGCGAGAGCCAAAGGGAGGCAGCCCTAAAATCCACATTAAATTTCCCTCAGAACCTCGGGGTACATTTTTGAATTTTGTATCTATGCAAGAACCCAGAGGAGAGAAGCATCTAGAAGCCGAAAGAGTTGGGCAGAGACTCCAGCTGCTGTCTGTGCAGGGGAGCAGAGCTCGGAGCACAAGTCCCCAGTTAGAGGGGCTCAGCAAACCCTCTAGGCTTTCCACCGAAACCCCAGGAGTGCCACACTTTAGGGGTAAAGAGCAGGTTCCAGAACGAAGGGATGTTTCTTAGACCTAAGGGCAAAACCTAAGGAGAACCACTCTGACGAAGCATAAAGCCAGACTTCCACAAGTTCAAGGTGATCCACCACAACCTACCAGCCTGCTAGAACAAAATCATTACCCGCCCCCCCCCCCAAGGAAGGCAGTAGAATCTAGCGTCTCTGTGCTGTAATACCCACGATATCTGGTGTGCAGTTAAAATTGACCGAATCCGAAACAAACAGGAGATGTGATTCAGTTGAGAGAAAAATCAGCTGATAGAAGGTGACCCCCACATGAGCCAGAGGTTAGAACGAGCAGACAAGACATTCAGAACAGCCATTATAACTATGCTCAAGGATTTAAAGGAAAGAGAAGCAGGTAACCGGACGCTATATACATATGAATGCTTTTGTTGGAAAATGCAATATCTGAAATGAAGGATTCGCTGAGTTGGCTTAACAGAGTTTGGAACTAGCAGAAGCAAGGCTGGGGAACTCACCAACAGATCACCAGCCGTTATCCAGTCAGAAGACCAGAGGGGTAAAGACTGACATAATGAACAGGGCCTCAGTGACTTACAGGGTGATCACGAGTCCCCCTCAGTGACTTACAGGGTGATCACGAGTTCTCCAGATTTGGTGAAAAACTTCCATACTGACTTTTAGGTCCCGGAAACTCAGCAAACCCTAAGCTGAACAAAGACAGAGAGGACTACATCCAGGCAACAGCAGTCACACTGCTGAAAACCAACGGGAAGCACAAAATCTTCCGAGGGCCCAGACAGAAGAGGAGCACTCTGCAGAGGGGGACTCCCGTAGGAATGACTGCTGACCCTCAGGAGGGCGGGCGGGGGGTGGGGGGGGCGAGGAACGGCGTCTTCGAAGGGCTGAAAGGAAAGTAACTGTCGACCAAGAGTTCTACGTCCACTCAGAATAGTTGTCAAACATGAAAAGTGGAACAAGGACATTTTCAGATGCACAGAAGCTGAGAGAGTGTGTTGCCAGGAGCCCCTCAGGGCAAGAAATGCTAACGCACGTTCTTCAGTCTGGAGGGAGGTGACCCAGCAGGTGAGCTGGCTCTTCAGGAAGAAACAAATGAATAGATAAACAAAGGAAAGAAGAGTCCTAGCAGTGGTGAACTCAGTAAATATAAAAACTATTCATTCAAAATGTTCTCATTTCATTGAAAGACAGCAGATTGTTTAAAGTAAAAATGATAAGATTGCATCGTGGGCTTTATAATGTATGTGTGTCTCTATAAAATACATCGAGATAGCATAAGGAAGGGAAATACAATGGAATAACCCGTTGCCAGTGTCATATTTTGGGTGAAGCGGCACAGCATTAACTCTGCATCGCCCATGATCAGCCAGAGGTTCCTGTTATAATCATTGGAGCTAAAAGGGTGAGAGCAGAGTAATAAAAACAGTCAACCAAGAAGAAGGCAGGACAGGAATGAAGAACAAATAGAAAACAGGGACTATGGCAACAATGTGAAGCTCAAGGATCTTCTGTTAAGTGAAAAAAAGTAAACACGAAAGAATACATATTGCATAGGTTTTTAGGAGTGAAGAGTTCAAGGTCAGGCAAAACCAATCTGTGGTGATAGAAACCACAGCGGTGGTTGTATGTGCGGGGTGGGGTTTGCCTCGGAAGAGAACTTTCTGGAGTAATGGAAATTTATAGCTTGATTAAGGTGCAAATTAACTGGGAGTATACGCTTATCAAAATTCATATCATTGTACGCTTAAAATGGGTGCACTTCTCTGTACGTAAAATTTTACGTCCAGTTTTTGAAAGCCTCGAAGTCAACCTCCCTTGCGAGGTCTCCGGTTGTAAACTTTGATCAACAGAGGGCGCTCCGAGCTCACCAAACACGCTTTAGGGCCTCAGCTACGTGCGGATGCAAATAGTGCCCGCTCTGGCTTCTGTCTCCAAGGTGTATCTCGCAGCTCCCCAGGAGCTCGCCCCTGACACCCCCCACTTTCCCCACCTGCCGCACGTCCATTTCACCAGGCCACACGCTGCTTTCTGGCTGATAAGCAGCGCGCAGCTAATGGCGGTGCTATTCCCCGCGGCACCTGCCCGGAGTGCAGAGGCGGCTGGAATCTGGCGTGGGCCCGCCTGGAAGCGTACCTGCCCGCCCCCGCCCCAAGGTCTTCTCTTCCTATGATCGCTTTTCAATGGGAAGTAGGGACGTGACGGGAACTTCCGCACTGTTCCGACGCCTTCATTCTGACCCCCTAACTTCGCTGTGGAGAGTGTGAAATATTCCCACGCAAGGGCGGTCGCGGCGGTGGGCGGGAGGGTGGATGGATGGCGGCGCGAGAGAGGCACAGAAGGAATTTTCCCTGAGCAAGGCAGGGTGTGTCTGTGTGTGTGTGGGGGGGGGCGGGGGCGTTGCCCCGGGGGTCCAGCAACCCAGAATGTGGCTTACTTGCCCCCTTCACATCACCCACCCGAGCTGGCGACTGCAAAGCCCCAACCCTCCTTTGCGCCCTCGCCTACCCCCAGGCCGGGTCTCTCGCGGGCGCCGAGATGCCATTACACCTCACGTGATCCCCGCCCTGGGCAGGTCCTTCCAGAGGCGTCTCGCGGGGTGTTAATTAAAGGTCACAACGAAACAGACCTGCTGGCTTACCAGGAGAAATGTACTCTCGGGAAATGAAAAATGACACCCCGGAGCAGTCACGTGTGGAGCCCAGCATATGCCGGCTTCCTGCGCTCCTGGGCGCTGCGCCGGGGTGGGTGGGGGGTCCGAGGGGGGCGGCGACTGGTGCTCCCCGGACCCCGCGGTCCCCAGGCGCGGGGAGACAAGGAGGGAGGGGTGCCTAGGGGACCCGCGTGGCGAGGGCAAGGCCAGTTCACGCACACCCTCCTTCCCAGGCCCGCACCGTCGCGCTGCGCGTGTGCAGCGCAGCGAATCCCTCAGTTTCCCCTGCCCCGCGGCTGCCCTCTGGATCCCGGGCTCACCTGCCCCAGCGCTGGGCCGTGGGCCCCTCGCAGATAGGGGCTGGGCGGGTGGGGACCCCCGTCCTGCAGCTGTGGTTGGGAGGGTGGTCCCGCGGCCGGCCGGGGGTCGGCAGGGCCGTTCCGGGAAAGGTTTGCAGGGCAGCTCTGGGAGAACAAAGGGCGGGGGGAGGACCCGGCAGGTTTGCGGACTTGTTTGTGACTCAATCCCTTTTACCCGGCGTTTCAAAGGCAGAGCTGCAAGCCTCGCCTGGAAGAGAAAGAACTTGGGGGCGGGGGAGGCGCGGGCTCATTTCTGTCCGGCCCCGCTGGCTCGGCGCGGCCCCTCGGCTCCAGGCGCGCGCAGCGGTGTTTCATTAGAGCCCTGGACGCGGGCCACTCACCGGGAACTTCCCCGCAAGGAGCGAGATTTACGATCCCCCGCCCCCAGCAGGCTCTCGGCCTCTCAATGTCAAGCAGCAGCGCCGCAACCTAAAATGGAGCCCGGTCGGCGCGGCGGCGGCGGCGGCAGCCTGGCGGCGGGCTCCCGGGCGGCGGGGCCTCGGGTCCCCAAGCTCTGCGCTGCGCCCGGGCGCACACGCGCGTCCTGACCGCGGACGGCGCCTGGCCCCGCCGAGCCGCCCCTTTCCCTGCCCTCGCGCAACTGTCAGGCAGAACGGGCCGGCGGATATTGGCTCCGCGACACGCCGAGGCTCCTCCCCGAGCCTGGATCTTTATATTTTGGGAGAATTTCTTTGAACTCAGTTACCAAGCTGCGTGAAGGAGACAAGTTCCCACAGCTGGCTCGCTGGCGGGGGCCAGGCGAGGGCTCGCCCACCTCCTCGGTGGCGGCCACGTGCCCTGATTGTAAGCCTCCTTTCCCTGGTGGAGGAGCGCGGACTCACTTGGCCGAGGGAAACGCCAATTATCTGGATGTGACCGTGAGAAGAGAGCGTGTGGCTGGAGGAGGCAGAAGAGGATGAGGAAAAGCAGTATCTGAAGAAAGGATAAACCGCCCGCTCCAAAGCTCTCTGCCAATTGGCGACATTACTTCTGGGGCCCGTTTGCTTTTATCCTTCCTCCCCCCTAGTTAAGAAGCCTTGGCTCGAGGGCCAAAAGACAGCCCCCTGTAACTGGGGGGCCCTTCTGGGTTGGAAGACGCGGTGGATGTAGTGCCGCCGGAACGTTTCAGACACACTCTTCTGGACGAGCCACCATGAATTCGGTAGCTGGGAATAAAGAGAGGCTTGCGGTTTCCACCAGGGGCAAGAAATACGGGGTAAGTTGTGGCGGGCACAAGGCGGAGACGCGTCTTCAGACCCGGTCGGCCGGGTACCCCGCTTCTGGGAACCACGCGGTGCTGCAGGGCGGCTCCGACTGCTCCAGCTGCAGAGGCGCCGCCGCCGGCTGTGCGTGCACGGAGGCGGGTCCGCCCGGCCGCGGGGACTCCGGCACACTCGCCTTGCCTGGGGATTTTTCAGTCCTCCGGTGCCTCCCCTTCCCCGCACCCCTAACTTTTGCAGCATTCCTGGACTTAACGGGAGAGTTACGCCAAAAGGGAGGGTTTCCCATGAATTCTCTGCCGTTCCTTGGGATCTCTTCCCTGTACCTTCAGGATCCAGAGGGCTGTGCCCTGAATGAATGAATAAAAACCCAGAAGTCACAGCCACCCCCCACCCCGGCGTCCCCCGGGATAGCGGGCTCCTGGATCTCGAACCTGGGCTCTTGCTGGGATGGGCGTCGGTTTCATAAGCGCGGGGTCTGAATCTCTGGGTTCCCCCTGCAGGTACCTTTGCAACCCCCTGCCCGAGCCATCTCCTTCTCGGGCACCCGGGCGTTGGGGACTCGCTTAAGGACAGTTAACGGGACAGATTTGGCCACAGGCTGGGAGAGGTGCCGAACGCGTGCCGTTGGCGCTCGGCCGGGCCCTCGGGGGGCGCGGAGACCCCGGGGAGGGCGCCCCTGACGCCGGCGCGTCTTTCCCCGCAGGTGAATGAAGTCTGCTCGCCCACCAAGCCCGCGGCGCCCTTCTCGCCTGAGAGCTGGTACCGGAAAGCGTACGAGGAGTCCCGCGCCAGCAGCCGGCCCACCCCCGAGGGCGCAGGCTCTGCGCTCGGCTCCTCGGGAACCCCGTCCCCCGGCTCGGGCACCTCGTCCCCGAGCTCCTTCACGGGCTCCCCGGGCCCCGCCTCCCCAGGCATTGGCACCAGCTCGCCGGGCTCCCTGGGCGGCTCGCCGGGCTTCGGCACGGGCTCCCCCGGCTCGGGCAGCGGTGGCGGCTCCTCCCCCGGCTCTGACCGCGGTGTCTGGTGCGAGAACTGCAACGCCCGCCTGGTGGAGCTGAAGAGGCAGGCGCTGAAGCTGCTGCTCCCGGGGCCCTTCCCCGGCAAGGTGAGCGCCGCGCCGCGCCGCGCGGGGCGGGCAGGAGGGCGGCTCCAGAACGCGAGGCGCGAGCAGGACGTGGCCCAGGCCTTCCGCAGCCCCGCAGCCCACGGCAGCTGCCCCTGCCGCGGCCGGAGGAGCCCCGGCGGAGCTGGGGGGCTGCTCGGCACCCCAGGGGGTGCGGGCACCAGTGGGCAGCTTCAGGCCTGGGGTTGGGGGCGCACCCACGCGTCTCCCAGGACACCGTGGGGCGCAGAGCTTGGGGACCTCCCGTGGCTCCAGGCCTCATCGCCCACGGGGGATGCCCCAGGTTACTTGTCCTGTTGTCCTCCACTCCGGAGAGTCCCTTCCCGCGATCCCCGCACCTGCTCGGCCGTCCTGTTGGACCTGCGCAGTGCTGAGAACCCCCACCCGCCCCTCCGCAAACCTTTGCTGGGTGGCAGGCCGGAGACGCGCTGACACCAGCTTCCGGGAGCCTTTCCTCTCCGCCCCGCACCGGGGGTGCTGGCCCGCTCCTTAGGCTTTTCTCCCCGTCCCACCCGTGGCCCTTTACAGGAGTGTCCGTGGGAGAAGTCAAAAGCAAGCGGAGCCAGCGTTTCTCATTGCCTGCTTGTGGTCCTTCCTCCTCCTCAGGATCGCACAGACAGAAACACCCACTGGAAAAGCCCACATTTCCCCCTAACCTTCTTTCTGTCTGAAGGGGAGGAAGGGGTGGTGCGCGCCTCGGAGCACGGCTACCTGCGGGCCTGCGCCCGCGCGGAGCACGCTGGGCTCTCTCCATGGCAACCCCGCCGGCCGGGTGTGTGCCAGGCGCCCCCAGGGTGCAACACAATGCGATTGTATTTGCACTGTTGGGTCCAAGTGCTATCAAAGGATAATATTTACTCTTGCACTTCAAAGAGTTTCTATCAGTGGTTAGAAATAGCGAGAACACAGTGGAGTGCGGTGAGGTTTCTGAGAGGGTTTGTTCAGTGGCGTTTTCTAGTTTCCATCTCTGGGACTCGCAACGCTGTGATTCCGAGCAGTGCACTTGAGGAATGCTTGCATCCGCTCGCCTCCTCCGCGCCTCCGAATACGCGCACGTGGATGTTTCCACACGCAAGGGTTCCATTAAACGAATACCCGCAGACGTGGTGGAACTCTCAACGTGGAAAATGGCCACCGAGAGAATTGGTTTGGTGAATCCCGAATGTATCTCGGGAGTCATTAAGTTGTGCATTGTCGTCAGCACCACATTTTGGTGGTTTGATGACAGAACCAGCAGGACACCCCAAGAATAAATCTCAGGGCTTCTAGAAGCTTCTTTCACTCCTTCAAGGTTACACTGTTTCTTCACTCACAGGTTTACTTTCAATCTCTTATCAGCATTCTTTGATTTCCTACGGCATTCAAGGTACAGTGTTAAGCACAGGAATGAGATGACAGGTACCCCCAGTTCTTGTCCACGTGGAGGTTATATTCTAGTGGAGGACCCAGACTTAACCCAGAATGTACAATTTGTCATTTATTCTTCCACGAAAAACACTGCGGAGCGCTGTGAAATCGTGTGAGCAGACTAGACCGTGTGACGCATTTGGGAGAACCTTGGTGCTTGAAGATATAACACCTGCTCTTTGGAAATCCTAACAAGTTGCAGCCTACCAGATCATTCTAGAACATTCTCAAGGGGCTGTTCTTACACAAGAGCTTCTTGGTTGAATGCTCTTGTGCACGAAGCTAAATCAAAATACACCCTTCTCACAAAAATGGAGGACGAGGAGGAAATCCAGAGGAAGATGAAACAAATGTTGAAACGTAGATCCATCCCCCGTGTGTTGTGGGGTCATGTGACAAAGCAGGTTTTGGGTTTTGTTGAAGCAGCCTGGGAAATTCATTCACAGGGTTATAGGAGGCCACTCAGGATAGTTGCTGGTTTCAGGCACGTGATGGAGTCAAGAGACGTGGGAAGCCGCTCTTGTTCTCAGAGTCCGGAAGGAGAGTCGGACCTGCCACACCTCAGCGCTCTAGACACGCCACGGGGACAGTCACACGGGATCGCTCTCGGCGCACACAGGAATGTCACGCAGCGCCGCGCTGCTGCCCGGGGCTCTCTGTGTGACCCAGCACAGTGGCGCTGGCCTTTGGTGCAGGGGGTGCGCAAGACTTAATGAGAACCCGTGGTGGTTTGGATTATTTCATTGTTAGTACCAAGGTGGGGAGGGGCTCGATTTTAACTGAAAACATTCTGCATGTCTCTGGGAACAGTAATTTTCAGTTGTTTTCATTTCTGAAGCACTGGTGCCCTCAGACTTAGGTGCACTTCTCATTGCACCTTTAAAGTCTGCAGCCTTTGCATCCAGTAAATGCTGCGTTCTCTCTTGACCACCATGGAAGAAGCCCCATGTCCCTGGGACAAGGCCCTCCTTCTTCCGGCAGTGGGACTTGTGGGCGAGCTGTGCACCCTGGAGCCCTCAGGCACAGGAGGAGTTAAGTTTCATATGAACAAGAGATGTCGTTGTGACTCCGGCAGCATGTAGTTGGCCCTAGAGAGTGAGAGTGTGGAGGATAAAGACATGTTTTTGATGGGTAATTAGCAAAAGTCATCTTTGTAATTTGCTTAAGATGCTTAACTGTACTTAGGGAATATTTTCTTAAATAGAGTATTAAATTCTACTAGGTAGTATTAAAAGTCTCCTAGGCAAGCATTTAAAAGTCGAAGGCAGACTAGCACATCCAAGACCTTTCTTACGTTAGGATGATTTGGTTCTAGGTCTTTCTCTGCCACTGATTGTGACATTGAGTCAATCAGTTTTCCTCTGTATTTTAAAAAAATATTTAATTAATTTATTTTACAGAGAGGGGAAAGGAGGGAGAAAGAGAGAGAGAGAAACATCAATGTATGGTTGTCTCTCATATGCCCCCTACTGGGGGCCTGGCTTGCAACCCAGGCATGTGCCCTGACTGGGAATCGAACTGGCAACCCTTTGGTTCACAGGCCGGCGCTCAATCCACTGAGCCACAGCAGCCAGGGTGCTCCTCTGTATTTTTAAGTTTCTTGCTGAGGCACTAAGGAGGAAACCGATTCGCACCATTAGAGTGGCATACAAATTATTCTGGGTAAGGATTGAAAAGTGCTCCCATTCTTCCGAGACGGGCGTAAGAGTGTTGACGATTATTCATTGGACTAGATTCTGGTCGATTTATGTTTTCTAGAATTTAGTGTTTTTCTTACAAAATGGTATCCACTTTCAGTTTCTAATTTCATCAGTTCATTTCCCAAATATACTGTCCTATGGGCTCTCACGCAATGCCTGCTGGTTGGCAGTGAGCCTAGTTGAAGTCCCCCAGTCTTGTGTCTGGGACCGTCAGTTACATAGGGGAGGTGAGGCGCTGGTGAGCCCTCGCAGGGGTGTCTGGCTGCTCCCAGGAATTAGACAGTGACTCTGGTGGCCTGCGGAGTGAGTGCCCAGTGCTCAGAAGGCACGTGGCCCCTTCCTGGGCGGGGATAGTACTGACTGAGGCAGGAGGTAGGAGGGGACGCAGATTTGAGTGGAGCTCAGTGAGAAGGACGAGGATGGCGGATTTGGTGCTGTGCATGGAGTTTGGGGTTTCTGGAAGGAGACAGAGACCAGAGGCAGATTTAAGAATGAAACAGACGCCGCAGTGGAGCAGTGACAACCGGGAGCCCACACAGCCCTCCCCGAAGCCCTGGATTCAGCCTTCCAGCCGCCTCACCTGGGCGAGGCAAGGTGTGTGCCTGGTGGTCGACTGGACCACACTCGATTTTTATTACCTCAGGCAGTAAAAAAGGACCTATTGGGTTTATATCATTTCTTTTCAAGGACTGGTAAGTGAAGAAAACAAAAGAGCGTGGATTCGTAAGGTGTTGGGATTTTTAAGCACAACAGTGCTTTTACCCAGTGCAGCGTTTCAGTGCGTAAATATGAAGCCATTTATATCCACTGGCAAGCGCGTCTTTCCTGTTTTATACACAGTCGGGGCAGCACGCCAGAAATGGGGGCCAAGGCACGACTCTCCCGTTTCAGGGCTATCCGAGATCGTCCGGATAGCTGCGGCAGGACTTCTGAGTCCACAGTGTGAGCCCCGCGAGACATCGGTCCGCAGGAGCTCCCTGGAGGAAGCAGAAATGTTCCAGATTGGCAAAAGGTTATCAGACATCGGTGCATTTCCATATCAATAAAAGAAAATCTTCTTTTATGTAAAAAAAAAACAAAAACAAGGGGGGGTCCAGAAAGACATTCCTATCTGATTTGTTCTGTCACATATTCTGGGCCCGTTTATGCCCCAGAAATATCAGGAAGATTAGCCAGACATGCTGAGAAGTGTGGCCAAGAGTCACAGAGATGAAAGGAAGAATGTGTCGTTGCGGTTTGAAAACACCAAACGTAGACTCTAAATAGAGCCCAAGTAAGTCTAGACGTGGAGTCCAAGTAAGTCTAAACGTTGGAGCTTTTTATATATATATATATTTGTATTTTCCCAGCTCCAGAACAGGGGTATGAAAAAATAACTCTATTTAAAAAGAGCCCCTAGAAGCTATTGTGAGACGCTTTATAAATAGATAAAATACACTGCATTTTAACTACGTATTAATTATGAGAAAATCTGATGTGAAATCTAAGAGCACAGGACTATTTTCAGAAAGCTTCATCTGAATCTTTTCCACTTCAGAAGTGTTTGAAATAAAGGAACAGCTAATAATAGATCATATCGGTAATGAATGAGTCCTGTAGCATATATCATGAAAAAAAAATTTCTGGAACATTTTAGGGATTATAGAAACATTCCTAGTAGACACATGTGAATGGTGATTTCTCCTTTAGGGCTTAGCAAGCTATGGAATAACGGCATTGCATTCTACCCCACTTTTAACTGCGAATCAAAAAGGCCATTTTTTAAAATAGTGACTTAATTCACTTTGTAAAACTCCCTGGCCTGTAGTGATTTCTCCCACACTCACTGCAGACAGGATTATTGCATTAGAGATGTGATTTTTAGAGGCCGAGTCT